TGTGGTGTGGTGTGTGTGTGTGTGTGTGTGTGTGTGTGTATCAGTACAGTTTTGCCAGTATGTATTACTAGAGAATTCCACATTGAGGAAGGACATAGGCATGGCGCTGTGAGATGAGACTCAGAATGCACCGATTTCCCACTCCTGTCCTTGTCCTGGCACTATGATGCCTTCCAGGCCCCTCCAGGCCCCATATTGCATTTAGATTATATTTAGTCATGGCCTCTAGGGCTCCAGTTTCTACAGTCATCCCTTGCCCATGTTGACCTTTGGAAGTTTTGAAGACTGCTGTCCAGTTTTGCTGAGAAGTGTCTGTCAAGTTCGGTCTCTCCTGTGTCATCTCAGGACTTAGCTGAGGCTGTACAGGACTTAGCTGAGGTTGCACAGGACTTAGCTGAGGCTGTACATTTTTGGCAAGAGTAGCACAGAAGTTAAGCTATCCCCTCATCCACGGCTCCTGGGAACACAGCCCCTGAGAACACTCGTCAGACACTGCAAGCACCTGATGAACACTGTAACGCTTCCTGTTAGACCGTTATTCATCTTATCAGGCTAGCTGTGCTTGTGACATAGGACACAGGGTGTGGCTTTAGAATTTCTTATACAGTATTAGTTCTTTTCTAAGGAAACCAGAAAACATTTAACATAGTGTTTTTCAGAAAAAGCTTGCCAGGGGAATTATCTGAGCCTTTAGTCCTATCACTCAGGAAGCAGAGGCAGGCAAATCTCTTGTGAGTTCAAAGCTAGCCTGGTCTACATAGGGAGACACTGCCTCAAAAAGGATAGGGAAGGCTCTTATCAAAGAACTTGAACTGTTCCTTTTGGGGGATGTCTCTGTAATGAGATTATATAATTTTTCGGGAAACTGCATCTTTTAGACTAGAGTAGGGCAGGTTGATAAATTTGCCTTATAAGGTCACAATGACTGAAATCAGCATACACATGCAAGCAGGCAGGCAGGCATGCACGCACACTCGCATGGCACACACATGGTCCCAAGGGCTGCTTGGCTTTGTGTATTAATCTGGTAGAGAGCACACATTATTCCTGAGGTAAATAAGCCTGGCTGCACAGTGATAAGTCTCCCTTGCTGTGCAGATGACAGGACGTACCACTTCCAAGCGGAAGACGAACAAGAATGTCAGATGTAAGTTCTGTGGATGGGGCTGGGACCAGGGGTGGGAGTGGGCGTGTTCACCCAGCTAACCCCCCACGCTGCTGCTGTTTGCCCAGATGGATGTCTGTACTGCAGAACAGCAAAGAGGAAGCTCTGAACAACGCGTTTAAGGGTGATGACAACACCGGAGAAAATAACATCGTCCAAGAGCTGACCAAGGAGATCATCTCGGAGGTGCAGAGGATGACGGGAAATGACGTGTGCTGCGACTGTGGGGCACCAGGTGACCCGGGAACCGGGCCCCAACCCCTGCTCTAGGGCATTCAGATTCCAGGGATGCCTGGAATCCACCCATTGATTTTTTTTTTTTCCACTCTCATTTTAAACATGAAATTGGTGCAGCTCAGTCTGGGTTCATCCCATTACACAAATGCTTAATGAACTGTGTACAGAGCACAATGGGGCGCATGGGTGGGAAATCCCTGCCTGCTGGGCCCAGGGCAGGACCATGGGAAGACAGCCTGGTGGAGATGAAAAGATTATACCCACAGCGGCTTTCAGACAATGAAAACTGAAGGGTGAGCAGTGCGGGTGAGCTGTGGCCACTGGTCTCACAGGCTCTGAGGGGCTGTGAAGGTACAGTGGGGGCCTTTGCCTAGGATTTATGTCAACCTTTCTGTCCTACTTAGAGGACTGTTTAAAGTAACTTTCAGGCAGACTCTTTGACCCAGGAAGAGAGCTACAGACTGTCGAACAACTGAAATGAGCGATGGATTTATCTGTCACAATTTGTGTTTGGATTTTGATAGAATTTATCAGAGGGTTTATGTTACTATACAGGAATCTTTACGGATATTATCAACTAGAACTTTAAAGATCAAGGAATTGACATTTTAAGATTGGAGAGGGCTGGGGGTCAGGATCTACATAGTAGCTTTTCTGAATGCTGGTTTACTGAAAACACGGATTTTTGTTTATCTAGTTCTGTGACAGTCTCTATTAAACCACAGTCACAGTAGAGTGGGTAGTTAAAGGTACTATTGAGTGCCTCATTCTCTGAGTTTCTGTTTGGCCTTGGATCTATTAGAAATATCTTTTGGGAGACTAGAGAGATGGCTCAGCAGTTAAGAGCACTGACTGCTCTTCTAGAGGTCCTGAGTTCAATTCCTAGCAACCATGTGGTGGCTCATAACCATCTGTAGTGGGATCTTATGCCCTCTTCTGGTGTGTCTGAAGACAGCTACAGTGTACTCATATATACTTAAAATAATTAATTAACTAACTAATTAATTAATTAATAGAAAAGAGATCTTTGTGGTAGGAGCAGAGGCAGGAAGTAGAATGCCTGAAAACGTAAGAACAGTGAAGCTCTTAGGTGCTCTCAACATCTTCATAAAGAAACCCTGCTGAAGCCAGGTGGTGGTGGCGCAAGCCTTTAATCCCAGAACTTGGGGGATAGAGGCGTGTGGTTCATTGTGAGTTCAAGGCCAGCTAGCCTGGTCTACTGAGCAAGTTCCAGGACAGCCAGGGCTACTTGTGAGACCTGTCTCAAAAAGACAAGGAGGAGGAAGAGGAAGAAGAAGAAGAGGTAGAGGAGGAAGAGGTAGAAGGAAGGAGGAGGAGGAGGAGGAGGAAGAGGTAGAAAGAAGAAGGAGAATGATACATTGATACATTTCGGTAAAATGCTAAGAAAGCACAGATGGTGTGCTATGTTATCTGAACGTGCACTGTTCCCCAAAGCAGAGTGCACACAGAATAACTGAGATACCTGCAAGCATGGGTGCTAGTAATATTTACTAATGTGGGTACAGTTAGTGTGCAGGTGTGCATGTGTCTGTGTGAGTATGTGTGTACATACGTGTACTGGGAGTTGAATTTAGTGCCTTACACGTGCTAAGCAAGCACTGTACCTCTGATCAAAAGTTCCAGCTCACAGTATGCTTTTAAAGATTTATTTGTTTTTACTTAGAGTTATGTGTATGGGTCCGAGTGAGTTTATGCACATCACATGTGTGTAATGCCCAGAGAGGCCAGATTAGGGCATCAGATCCTTTGGAATTGGACTTACAGGTGGTTATAAATAGTCATATGGGTGCTGGGCATGGAACTCTGGTCCTGTGAAAGAGCAGCAGGTGCTCTTGTCACTGAGCCATCTCTCTAGCTCCTCTCCCCAACTCCTACTTTTTTTTTTTTTTTTAAAGAACTTGATGATGACCTCATGGGCAAGATCTTGATGTTTATCTGTGGAGGATTTCAGGGGGCAGGAAGTACTCGGGAGACCTTGTACTCCAATACATCTTAATTTCTATGCTTTATAAATTCAGGATTTGCCTGTCAAGTATTGGCTGGGTCCACACTGTGCACTAAGCACTTGGAAGGGAACTTAAATGAGGAAATGAACATGCCATGTGGGGAAGGTGTAGCTTGAACTCTGAGATGATAGTATGTAAGAGTCCTCTGACTTCAGATGTTCACAGTGCAGTTGACTGTTACCACAGCCCAGACACTCAGCACAGCACAGCACAAACATGGGGTGTGTATTCTGTTACTGTTGGTATCCTGAGATCTTATCCGTCCCCTCCATGCTCTGCTTTGGAGAATCCTTGCTCCTCCTCCTCTGCTCTGCAGTATGGCCGGGTGACTTGCAGTCACTTGTGTTTGGAAGGATAGGAGTTGGAAGGAAAAGCACCTTGTCATTGCTTGTGGATTTGGTGTGATCTTAGATGACCAGGGGTGCCAGCTGTGTCTAGGGTAAAATGCTCATATTCAAAGCCTGACAGGGAGAAACTTCTGCCTCCTGACTGATCTCTGATGGCAAGCTCATGATGTCCCCTTTCCTTTGACAGATCCGACGTGGCTCTCTACCAACCTGGGTATCCTGACTTGCATCGAGTGCTCTGGGATCCACAGGGAGCTGGGGGTTCATTACTCCAGGATGCAGTCCCTGACCTTAGATGTATTGGGAACGTCTGAGCTTCTGGTAATTAGATTTAGACACTCATTGACAATTACTGACTTCCTGACACCAGTGAGTAAGGGTGTGTCTTGTTATGTGATGTTGTTCCTAAATGCAGAAAATGCACATGACTGAGGCTGTGTGGGAGTCTTCTGAAACAGCCATAGTGATAGCTACCCCCGCCCCAACTCCTTCATTAACCAGGCCTGGAAACCAAAGCTCAAGGGCAATAAAGGATTTACTGACCCCAAGCCATCAACTGATTTCTGACAGAACTGTACTCACTTCCTGCTTCAAGCCTCCATTGTCTTCCTGATCCGTACTGTTCCTCTCAGGAGAAACACTGTCTTCCGGTTTTGCTCTCGCTTCTCTGAAATAGTTTTTCATTCTTGGGTCACTGGTAATATGGATGCTTTGTGATAGGGGATGGGGAGTTGGAAGCATGTTTTGAGAAACACCTTCTGGTACCTGATACTTCAGGCCGATTGAGTCACAAGGCCAGTTATGTACTCATGTGGGCTTGGAGGATACTTCAGAGTCCATGGTTTCCATTTGGAAATCTGTGCTCAAAAGTCTTTCCTGAGAGGACTGGGTGTTGGGTAGCAAGTAGTAAGTGGATATTGATTGCCATTGATTTTAATGTCAAGAACAATAATCGTGATAGAACATCAATTCACACAGTCAGTGTTGCTCCCACGGGGTAGTAAATCTTCTTGACAACTCTGAATCTAGTGAGTCTGTATTCATGATGCCTCTGGCTGTCTTGGGGAAGTTTTCCTGTCTTTCCTAGGAATTCCTTGTTTGATCTTGGAGGACAAGAGTGAAGATTAGCTAGCGTGGACCCTGGCATCTCAGACAGCAACATCCCTGGTTACTTATAGCTTATAAATGAAGCAGGCTCAGCAAGTCCCTACAATTTGTTCTTGGTTATGTGTATGGTTCCTGCTGCTGAGACACTGGCCTACATTTTTGAGGTATAGAGCATCTCTGGGGAAGTTGATTATGGCTTAGTTTTTAAATGGTCGCATTGAATTCTCAAGGAAACAGTACCTCAGCAAACACTGATGGACTGCAGCAATTTCTTCTCTTGTCTGCTTACAGCGGAGGGACATGTCAAGTGGTGTATTGTGAGGTAATGGCTTATTCTCATTCTGTGTGTGTTGGCTCATCCGATCTGTATGACTCAACATCCATGGTGTATTATTCCCACCTACCAATGGGGAAACTTTGCTTACATTACCTTAATGTACCCAGGTTCTGCACTCATTCAGGTAACACACTAAACATGAGGCTCCCTTTAATCTGTCTTAGCGCATACTCAATTTGAGACTCCTGGGACACAAACTGGCATCAGTGGTGGCTTGTCTGGCCATGTGGGAAATACGGAAGCATCACATCTGCCCCTCTCCAGAGCCCAACAAATACTCAACAGCAACTCTGAGGAGCAAAGAGCCCCTGATGGAAGCCTGCCTATTCCCCTGGTGTAAACGCTTCTGTCATGGCTTCAAACTACTCTTAGGAATTACTGACTGTGAAACTGGAAAAGGGTGTTTAGTAACAGTGTTCAAGCAAACGTTTTTCATAGAAACATAATATATGTGGGCAACTCCCATCACTGGTAATAGTGAAATGTAGTAAAATTTAGAAGTGATGAAATTTGTCCTCATTTGTTTGTTTGGAACAGGCTCTCATTCTGTAGCTCAGGCTATTCCTGTTTTTTTGTTTGTTTGTTTTTTGTTTGTTTGTTTGGTTGGTTGGTTTTTCGAGACAGGGTTTCTCTGTGTAGCCCTGGCTGTCCTGGAACTCATTCGGTAGACCAGGCTGGCCTCGAACTCAGAAATCCACCTGCCTCTGCCTCCCAAGTGCTGGGATTACAGGCGTGCGCCACCACTGCCCGGGTAGCTCAGGCTATTCCTAAACTCAGATTTCTTCCTTCTTCCTCAGATCCCTATGTGCTTAGAATTCAAGTGTGCACCAACCAACACGCCTAGCAAGATAATGAGCCTCGAATATTTAATATCATAGTTGTTGACATGATTTATCATGTGTTTACATAGTATAATTTTTAACAGTAGCGGTGTCTTAACAGCTGTCTCTCAGAATCCTTAGACATCTAGTAATTAGCTTTCAAGAGCTAGTTAGAGCCTTGCTCAACAATGACTACTTTAACATGTCTCAAAAAGTGGCCTTGGAGAGATGCTTCAGAAGAGGGTGTCAGATACCCGCAAGCTGATGTCACAGGCCACTGACGTTACAGGCCGCTGAGGTACCTGGATGCTGGGAATAAGACTTGGGTCTTCTGTGAGAACAGTGGGTGCTCTTAACTGCCGAGCCATCTCTGCCTCTTACTTTTATTTTTCTTAAAGAAACCTCTATACATTCAGACCAACAGTGTATATGATTCTTTTTCCTTCATTCACCTAAAAGTTTTTGATAAAGGCTTCTTGGTGTGAGGTGATGGTTTTTGCTCACATGTTGCTGCAGCTGGCACTGCTGGGCATGTCGTCTTGTACCCATTTGCTGTTTCCTGTCTTTGGTCCTGTGCCCACAAGTCAGGACTATCTGTGTTCATTCTGTCAACTTACTCAGGCTCGTTATATAGTTTGGATTCTGTCCTTGAGTCGGACCAGCATCTCAGGTTTGTCTCATTCCATGGGCTGCCCCTTCACTCTCTTACTTATGCAGAGCAATTCCAGTTTCCCAGTTTTGCTGTTGTTGGTGAGCTGAGACTTTTAAAATGACCTGAAAGAGACAGCCAGCGCATGAGCAGGACCTGAGTACACTTCCATTTTCTCTTTGGCATCATGTCTTTGAATGAGAGATCAGTGGCTGTCTGTTCCTGCCCTTCAACATAACCTCAATGTTTTCCTCTCCAGAGGAGGCCTTTGCTCAGTTCCATGGATTATCTCCTGGTTTGCAGAGTTTCCCTGCTGCTGTGCCCTGGCTATTTCTCCATTGTAATGTGTTGTTATTTCAAAGCACACTTTCTGTGTTGACGAGTCGTACCTGGACAGCATCTTTGTAGGTGACTGGTTAGTAATCCTCTCCACTTCCTGCTTTTAAAATTACTTCTCATTCAGTGAAATGGAAGGAGCAGGTGGAGGGTAGTTGGTTCTTTTGGGGAAGTTTGCCACTCAGCCACTTCGGCAGTCCATACTCGGGTAGGCTTAGAGCAGTGGTGACCCCCTTGGAGTTGTCAAATGACCCTTTCATAGGAGTTGACTAAGACCATCTGCATATCAAGTATTTACATATTTAGGTTTATAATGGTAGCAAAATTACAGTCATGAAGTAGCAACAAAACTTAATTTTATGGCTGGGGATCACTACAACAGGAAGAGCTGTATTAAAGGGTCATAGCGTTAGGAAGGCTGAGAGCCACTGGCTTAGAGCTTCAGTGAACCTGCTTCCAGAAACCTATGACAAGTCTGGATTTTAAAGAAATGAATTTTCTCCGTAACACTGAAGAACATTAAAAGAAGCTTTTTGTGGGGGTATGGGGGAGGGTATCATCTGGAAAACTATATTACCTACTAGGGTACTGGTATCATGTGATCTATTTCACGATCATATTTTATGTTAATAAATAAAACCTCAGTATTTTGAAGTTTAGTTTAGAGTGGGATGTGGTGGTTCATGCCTGTGACCTCAAAATTTGGAAGGCTAAAAATGAAGATTGCTGCTACCTTGAGACTAACCTGTGCTACCCAGTGGGTCCCAGGGCCACCCTGGGCTGCAGAGAGAGACCCTGCCTGAAGAGAATAAAGGAAAAAAAGGAATTGAGTTTTAAAGTCTTCAGTCATGTTGGAGGAATGTCAGGAAGCCCAGGAGTTGGTTAGCTGACTCAGCTGTCTTTTGAGGTCTATCTCTACTGCACTGTCAGACATCGGGGCTGGTCAGCCGCAGCCTCAAACCCTGGGAACTGCTTTTCAGCACTGGCATTTCGCTGACACTCAACTAAGCCACTCTGGGTAGTGACTGCAGTTGCTTGGGGCTATGAGAAATTACAGTCAGCTCTCATCCATGAATCATGTTTAGGCTCTCGGCATTGGCATGACTGGAGTGTGTGTGTGTGTGTGTGTGTGTGTGTGTGTGTGTGTGTTTCTCTGGCCTAAATGAGACTCAGAGTCCAACTTGCTCGTGGAATGTACATGTAATACCCCTAAAGATCCTTGGACGCCACAGGCTGTACGCAACCCATTTGAAGTCACAACATAAAACCTACAAGTAAAACCAGGTTCCCAAGCATCTATGTATGTCGTCAGGTACATTAGAGAAATGGCAAGGTCCACACAGATGTTAGGCATATGAACTCCCTTCTCAACCCCTAGATGTTCATGCCCCATCCTTGTTAAGCCCCCTACATTTCTTGATTCTACCTGTACTAGTCACTGTGTCTTCTGGGCCCTAATGCACATGTGTGTCAAAGGGCATGACGTGTCTTCAGGCCTTCCATCCCTACTGGAACAAAGTTGGGGGTAAACAGGGAGCAAGCTAAGGTAAACCAGAACAGATCTAGACTGTGCAGCTGCCAGAGGCCCAGATTGCTATGTGGTGCCTGTGTGCAGAAACTGTGTCGTAGCCCCTTCCCCCATGATACTTCCTCCCCCCCCTTCCGGCAGCTTGAGGACACCAAGCCTAGAGAGGAGTAGGCTTCAGTGGAGTAACCCCTACGGGACCTAAGAGACTTCAGAGAAATCTTTACTTCCCTCATTCTGGTTTCTGTCCTCAAGAGAGGATAGAGAGGTAGGAAAAAGTTGATATCTCTCCCCACGGAAATATGAAGCAGGAATTTTGCTCCAACCAGTCCCAAACTCTAAACCTAGGGTCTAGACAAAACTTCAGGCCTTGTTGTAGCTTCTTAGGCAGCTGCTAAAGATTTATAAAGACTGTTTCCCTGTTCTGAGCATATGTGCAAATCTCAGAGTCTTCTTGGCTATGATCATGCCTGGACTTGGGGTCTTACAGAGCTGAGTAGACTCTTCTGTTGCTGTACCCCCAACACTGTGCCACTTTAAAATATATTTTTTTTCATGTTTTATTGTTTGTATATAGGTGTGTGTGTGCCACAGTGTGCCTATGGAGGTGGCAGGACAACTTTAGGAGACTGTTTTTATCTTCCACCCTTGAGAAACAAGGGTTGTTCTTGTATCTGTTAGTCTGTATATTCTAGCCTAGCTGGCACATGGGCTTCTGGGTAATACTAATGTCTGCCCCTCCCATCTTGCCATAGGAGTGCTGAGATTACAGATGCACACCAGATCCTCCAGCTTTGATGGGTTCCAAGGATCAGAGTCAGGTTGTCAGTTTGAAATTCAAATGCTTTTATCCACTGTGCCATGTCCCTGGTCCCGCCATGTCCCTGGTCCCGCTTCTACCTCTTCTTCCTCTTCTTCCTCCTCTTCTTCCTCTTCCTCCTCTTCTTCCTCCTTCTCCCCCTCTTCTTCCTCCTCCTCCTCTTCTTCTTCCTTCTCATCTTCCTCCTTCTCTCCTCTTCCTCCTCTTCCCCCTCCTTTTCCTCCTCCTCTTCTTCCTCTTCCTCCTCTCCCTCCTCCTCTTCTTCCTCTTCTCTTTTCTTTTTAATTTTATTTATTTTATCAGTTTGCCTCTGTTGTTGGATTGATCCAGTGAAGAACAACATTTGGCTCATACCCAATGCCCAAAACAGCTAAGTTGCTCAGTTCCATGAGAGACTCATTCTGTGTCTGTGAAGCAGCGTGAAGGGTAAAGGTTGAGGCTTCGGTTCCACTGCTTTAAGTGACACTCAGTTGGCCCTCTGTGTCGGGCTTGCAATCTACAAATCCAACCAACCTCAAGTTGAAGTTGTTTAAAATGGGTGCTGGAGAGCTGGCGCAGTGTTGAAGAGCACTTGTTGCTCTTGTGAGGACCTGGGTCCAGTCCCCAGCACCCACACAGTGGCTCACAACCATCTGTAGTTCCAGGGGATCTGACATCTGTGATTATTACATACATGCAGATAAAACACTCATATACATAAGTAAATAATGTGCCCCCCTCCAATAATACTAAAAGGTATTCTAAGAGGTTTTTTTTTTAAAAAAAAAAAAAAACAAATTTGAATTTCCTGAAATCTATCCCATATGTCCTTAGGTGAAATGAGGTGCCTGGCTGCTGAGTCTCTTGGAGACCCACCATCTCCCTGACCCTTGAGCATTCTTTGTTCACTTGTTAAGTAGCTGAGCCTACCAAGGTTTTATCCCATGCTAGACACATGAAGACTTTTCTTGTTGCTCCCTGAACAGTGTCATTTGACAGTGACTTACATGCCACTTCCATGTCTTAGGAATTCGAAGTCATCAAAGCAGTGTAGGATATACCTGGGTCCCCTCATGTTTCCCATCTCTACGGCCCTGGAACCCAGACCCCACACAGGGAGAGACCTGTACCAGTGAGCACTCAGGCTTCCTCCTCGGCCGATGTAGCTGAGGTTTTCACTCCGCACATCCACACTTCCTTCAGATGGCAGTGCCAGCTCTTGATGCCAAAGTTCTGGTCAATGCTTGCTCTCCCTGCTCCAAGCATTGCTTCTCAGGGGTCTGCTGACCCCCATGTTTCCCAGCAGGATCCCGTGGCCTCCAGCTCTGGGGGCTTTGACTCTCTCCATGGTTCCAAGTGGTTCCCTTTATAAACCAGGTCTTTTTTTTTTTTTTTTTTTTTTTTTTTTTTTTTTGGTTTTTGGAGACAGGGTTTCTCTTTATAGCCTGGGCTATCCTGGAACTCACTCTGTAGACCAGGCTAACCTTGAACTCAGAAATCCTCCTGCCTCTGCCTCCCAAGTGCTGGGATTTAAAGGCGTGCGCCACCATAGCCCAGCTATAAACCAGGTCTTAGCAGATACGTGAGGTGACAGGTCGCTCCAGTGTTGCATGTGTGTGTGTGTGACATACAGATGTGGTAGTTCCCTGGACCAGCTGTCCCAGCTAAGCAAAGCAGAAGGGAAGCGTTCTGATTCCTGCTGAATTTTTTCCTCCTATCCCCTCTCCACTTAATGCAAACTAGGAGACACTGGGGTGGCTTCTGACATTTATTTTTTGGATCTGAACTTAAGTCAGTCACTCCTCAAGACCCAGATCCTCCCAACAGCCACACCTCCAGACTGTCTCTGTGCACCCTTTGTCTGCATAGGCAGTCTAGCTAAGAAGTTTGACATTGAGTCACTCACTGTGTTTCCGATGATGAAGTTAAATAATCTGTTTTTTCCAATCCTTGTGTAAGATGTGCCCTACCAGTATTGTTTCGGGAAATACTAATGTTTAAAAATCTGACTGGAGGGCCGGGGTGCAGCAGTGCTAGGAATATGTCCTGGAAGCTCACTTTGAGGGCAGGTGCTGAACTCTGTGCTTGGGATGAGGCGGGGGTGTCCCTGCTCTGAAGGAGCTCCTGATTTTGTTTAGCAAACGCCAATTGTCATGTTATCAAGATAGCGTGGCTGTGCCTAGCACTAGGGTACTTGGTGATTATCAGATGTGAAGATATGGTAAAGTCAGAAGACATATCTGGAGATCACCTGGATGTCATTCGTAATGTTGTTAGTGTTTCAGTTTTCCAAGAGTTTTCACCAAAAGTGTCCCATTTGGTCTCTCTCTCTCTCTCTCTCTCTCTCTCTCTCTCTCTCTCTTTCTCTCTCTCTCTCTTTCACTCTCTCACTCACTCACTTTTTCTTGAATTTCATACTGTATACCCTAATCCCATCCATCTCCCTTTCCCCTCATACCCACCCTCCACTCTTACAACCTCCCCCGCCAACAGAGAAAAAAACTCTTGTAAAGCTACAGTGTGTTACAATGTGTCCCACAGTGTTCCCTTTTGTCCACTCTTCTTTGCTTGCTAATGTTCACTGCAATGACTTGGTCTGGTACCAGGCCTCTGGCTTCTGCTACACCATCAATACTGGGTCCCCACTGGGACCCCTCTCCGATATCCTGTTGTTGCCCTGTGTCATGGAGATCCTGTAGTTTTGGATCTGTAGGACCAGCCCCATTCATGTACTCCAGCAGTTCATTGATGGGGAGGATATTGGGGTGAGCCAATGCAAAGCAGTGACTCTGGGCCTGAGAGGTGTCTGAGCTGCTCAGCCCACAAGCTCTCCAGCTCTCACCCCCATGGGCGGGGTTACCAGCAACCCTGCCCCCTAGTCCCACCAGGCAGAGTCCACTCTCCTGAGTGCCACAGCCCATGGGGGACATGGCTAATTCTCCCACTCTCAACACTGTCATGACCCTGGGGCCAGCTCTCCTACTTGCCATAGGTGGTGAAGGATGGAGGGGTGGGGAGAAGTGTGTCTCAGCTTGGTTTCACTACTGCAGACAAGAGACAGAGCTGGCTCTCCTGAGCTCATGCATGACCTTGGGACTGGCTCGCCTGCAACCACCATATCTGGGGCCAGCTCTACTCTGCTGCCCAGGAGAGGTGCAGGGCCTGTTCTCCTCAGCGCTGTGGCAGGTGAGGAGCAGGGACAGCTCCCCTGCTCTCTAGACCCCATTGGGACCAGCTCTCCTGCCTGCCACTGGTGGTAAGGGCAAATGGGAGGGGAGGGGATTTCTCCCTGGCCTATGAACCCCACCGCGCAGCAGGCAAGAGTCAGGGCCATCTCACCCACAACCCCCACATCCAGGGCCAAGTCCTGGTCCCGTGTGTCTCTGCGACACTACTCACAGCTGCTGTGAAGAAGGCTGTGGGTGAAAGAGTTTCTGCAGGAAGGCAGGTTAGAATGTAGATCACCATGGATCGAGTTCCTGCTTCTCCAAGGCTGTGGTGACTGGCGTCCATTTTCCACAGAATCCTCTGCAGGTCATCATGCTGTGCTGATACCATGGGGCTTTGCGTTCTGTGCCTTTTCATTAAAAGCAAACCACTTTATCGTGCTATTTCTTAGTGGCCATTAAATAAATCATCAGATTGTGAATAATGGACAGCAGTGGAGTGTATTAATAATTGAATACTCTGAAATAGACTTCTATTTTTGCAGCTTGCCAAGAATATTGGGAATGCAGGCTTTAATGAAATCATGGAGTGTTGCCTCCCGTCTGAGGACCCAGTCAAACCCAACCCAGGCAGCGACATGTGAGTATTAGGTTGGCTGTTCTCATTTGCCCTTCCTGAGCCCTGCAGGCAGGGAGACAGTGCATCAGTTGTTGATTCCTGCTAGCTAAAATTGTTGATTTGTTTTCATTTTGATGTTTTTCATCCTTAGTCATTTCTGTGTGTCCAAGCAGGGTTATTAGCAGCTATACGAGAAGGGCATTGCAGTGAGTCTGGCTCACTGCTGTCATGGACCCCTGTGCCCCTTGCCACTGTTCTTCCTCTCTGCCCACTTTCCTAGCATGGTGAATTGTGCCCCGCCCTCACAGACAGGCAACCATGCACCATTTCTTGTGCCAGTGTCCTTCCAGGTGTACAACCTGTTGTCTCCCCCAGAAAACCTCTATGTGTTTTACCGTTGCTACAAACTGTAACTGAGAAGCTGTCGTACCTCACTGGGATTCTAGCTGGCCCATTGATGGAGCCAGTACAACAGGGATTCCTACCAACTCTATCAAAGTCTTTTTTTCACCACACCTGGCTTGAGGAGCTAGACAGAGAAGTGCATCTTGCCCCTCAGACATCATCCCTGTTTCTTAAAATGGCCTATCTGCCCTGGGGAGGGTGGGGGGGAGCTTGGGATGGTATGCCTGCAGGGAACAATGCAAAGTGAAGGAGAGGAGAAAGGAGCAGGTCTCCCAGCCAGCAAGCAAGCACCTGCGTATAGGCGTGACAGCAGAAGGAAACTAGAATAGAATAGAGAAGAAAAGAAAGGTTTGCAGTCTGTGAGCCAGACCTCATTTCACTGGGCTAGGCCTGAAATTGAGTTAGTAGTTAGGGTTGCCCCAAAGGACACTGAGTGATGAGGGACAGAGTCTTTAAGAGCAGTTTTACAGGTGGTGATGGTGTACAGAGCCTGTATAAAGCAGAACACACTTAGATTTTTGTAACTGTTCTGTTTGGGAACCTGAGGCAGCGGAAGTGCAGGACCTGTGTTATCTTGCACTCTGATTCACTGAGGGCATGGAGAAATTCTGGAGGGCAAGCAGAAAACTTGTCAGTTGTTGGCTGTCTTGGGCGTCAAGACTAAGAAGTTAGTCTAACGTCTTGCAGGTGTTAGATTATGTCAGTTTATGTTTTCATCCTGTAGTAAGCAAACATTTGTGACATAGTGTCTCCCAGAGACTGGATAACATGGTTACAAAGCATCGTCTTCTTTATATGAAGTTGTCCATTTCAAGTCTGACTTGAAGAGGCATTAGGAGCCCGCATTCTTGGCCACAGAATGGGGCAGGTTCTTTGTCATCTGAGTCTGAACCTTAGTTTCTATAATAAAAAGGGAGAGCACGCTGACCCCCTCAGAGAGGCACTGGGGGAGTTAGAAAGATGACTCACACTCAGTTAGGCCTTGAATGATATTGGCAACAGAGTCTATACAAGTGCCCTGGCTGCCTTTGAGAAAAGAGGATCCCTTGCAATCTAGGGTTCTCTTGTGACCCACGGAGGCCCAGTGCCTTCCTGGACAACTGGATGACCCCAACTAGTGAAGGAAATGTCACGGCCCACTATGGCAAGTTTAGTGGCAGCTGTTGCTTGATGCTGGCTTTCTTTGGTGTTTGTCTCACTGAGGTCCCAGCCTTCTGGAATGCTATAATACCAGTCAACCTGAAACAAAAAGTATAGCAAAATACTTCTTTTTAAGTACTAGGATTAGCAGCTAGAGAAATGTTGCCACTGTTAAGAGCACTTGTTGCTCTTGAGGAAGACCTAGGATCAGATCCCAGCACTTACATGATGGCTTCAGTGATTCAGAACCCTGGTTCTTGAGGACCTAATGCCTTCTTCTGGCCTCTGCAGGCACCAGGAATGTATATGGTGTATGTATGTATGTGTGTATGTGTGTGTGTATATATATATTACTCAGACACATAAAAACAAATAAATCTTTTTTAAAAAAGACTAGCAGGAGTCCTTATGAAATCAGGCATCTGTTTGTTTGAGGGGCAATTGATTCTAAAAATGAATACCACCTCTCAATACCTGGGCGTGCGTGCACACACAGACACACGCAGGAGCAGACATGGTGGTTCATGACTGTAATCCCTGCAAGGGCAAGGTTGAGGCAGGGGGATTATGCATTTGGAGCTAGTCTGGACTCTATAGTGAGTTCTAGGTTAACCTGGGATACATTGTGAGTTTAAGGCTAGCATGGGTGGCATAAGGGGGACCCTTAGTCTGGTTCCTCACACCCAAATACAAGAAGAAGATGTATTGTGTGACTCTGTGTGCTTCCAGCAGCCGCCTGTTTCTTATAACACTCCATCACACTTTACAATATACTTGGATTTTCACATATTGTTCTGCAAATTACATTTCACTCATTTTCTGTATTTGCCCCCACAGTATGTTGCTTGTAGTGGTTCCGTAAATGTTTAATGGCTCAACAAATCACATAAATAGCCCCAGTTCTATGCCTGCTTCATTCAGCAAACATTTTATTTCTAGATTTGATTGAATGAGCTGCCTGCAGCTTGGAGTAAGCACACACCATCTTTAACCGTATGCTGAAGGGGAAAGCAAAGGCACCCTCTAATGGCCTGTGAACCCCCAGTTGGGAGTGGAGGCAGAGAGCATGTGTAACTGGGCCACCCAGAGGCCAGATAGCATCTGCTCATAGAGGCAGACTGACTCTGAAGAAGCAGCAGGAAGCCCTCCACCCGCAACAACGCCAGATGGATCAGTCTGCAGTCTCCCGCTGCTTTTCTCCACACATCTCAGGCTATACATTTAAAAGAAAAACCGAGAACACACTAAATGGCACAGTCTATCTTGATGTAACCAGGGGTCAGAGTGGGTTACAGAGATCTGTCCTGTGTTTGGGTTAGAACCACCTTCAGGGGACTCAGAGCCTAGGATGGATGAATACCCATTTAAAACAACAACAGCAACAAAACCACCAAAAACGGAAAAAAAAATAATCCCATCACTTTAGTAGCTGAAGCAGGAGAATTGGGAATTTGAGGCCAACCTGGGTTATATAGCAAAAAACAAACAAAAAACCATAGCTTAAGGCTGGTGAGTTGGCTCCATGGTTAAGAGTGCACACTACTCTTGCATGTGACCTAAGTTGAGATCTCAGCACCCATATATGGCTCCCAGGCTGTCCTTTTAGTTCCAGGGCATCCAAAGCCTTTGTCCCACCTTTTAGGCAGCAGGCATGCATACGTGCAAGCTAAACACTCATACACATAAAACAAAGTAGGTCTTAAAACCAAGAGCTGAGGATGTCCTTCCAGTGATAGGGAGCTTGTGCCTGACATGCACGTGGCCCTAGGTTCAGTCCCTACCCCAAATAAATAGATAAGTAAAGGAACTCAGCTGCTTCTATCCCGTCTTTGTCCATTAGGAGTCACAGAGAGTGCCCCACGTTGTTACACCGAACTTGACAACTGTCCTGTCACCAGAGCCCACTGAGTCTAAGGCATGGCATACATTCCCCATGAAGGCTGTCCCACTATGGTTTGGTAATTCTTGAAAGTCCCACACTGGAAAAGATCTCCAGCTCTGAACTGGCCCAGGCCAGGGCATTTCCCAGTGGGCTCAAGAAGCTACCCATTTTTCCTCTGCCGGCTTCATCGTGCTTATCTGTACTGTGGGGATCAGTGAATCAGACCGTCTCCATGATGCTTAGTGCCTTGTGGACAGGTTGATGTGCTTTATCAAGGCTTGTGCCTCAAGGCAGACCTGGAACTCTCTAGATTGGGACTACACATGAACAGCGTGAAGACTGAAGTGACTAGGTATGCCCTGCCCTCCTGCTGGGGCCTGTTCTAGAGGAGAAGGCAGGGATCTCCATCCTGGGTTGAATGACTGTCTTCACGGTCCCCCAGTTAAACAAGCTTTGCTTCTATGTGTTCTGCTCCCAGAGAGCTCAGGCAGGTTGTCTAAGGTAGACTGAAGGCAGGTTTAGGAAGTCTACCACTGCTACTGCAGGAACAGGGAGAGAAGGTGTGGGAAGTGTGGGCCTGGGTGTTTCCCTCTCTGGGTCCTGTCCTCCTGGAGATGAGAGGCCATGTGGGCAGTGGCTTTTAGCTTAGCTCACTCACCTCTTGATGCCAGCTTCTAGGAGTGCCTCTCCTAGTGTTGGCATCTTACAGTGCCCGTGTTGCGGGTCCTGGCTTAGGGAAATGCCATCTGTAGGCCCCAGTGGGATGATAGAAAGACACCCCCATTCATTTTTCGCTACAAAGGAGAGGATGTCAGTATTGTGTTTCAAAATGCTGAGTAGACCCACACACTCCTGAACCCCAGTGTCTGTCAGCTAGAACGCCTGCGATTTGAGGGTTTGACACCTTTGTCACTTAGTTTACTCTGATTCCCTGCCACTGGTGAATGTGCCCCTTTTTAAGGCTACAAAGGACAGGGTGCAGATGTGGCTATCAGGTAAATCAGAAGGCAGACAACGTACTAGGGAGAGCCAGAACAGAGATTAGGTCAGGGTGGCCAGCCTGTCTGAAGAGGGGGGTTGGAACATGCAGGAGGAACTTGGGTGACAGCAGAGAAAGACTTGAGCGTGTGGGTAGAGGGATGTGAGCAAGTCAGGCAAATTTGTGGATGGGTTAGGTGTGGAGGCTGCAGCATGCTGAGGGAGCGCTCAGGGCTATGGAAGGAGGCAGCTGGGAAAAGATAAAAAAAGCCACGCATCTCACCTCTGTCCCTATAACTGGGTGATGCCCAGGACTGTTGGGTGGGCTTTGGTACCTCTGATACTGGAAGCTAGACATGCCTCTACTTAAGGAAGGTGCCCACAGGGCCCCAAGAGGGCTGGACATGGTTGTAGACAATGGACTACTGGGTGGACAGAGGCCCTCAGTGTTTGACCCATCCGGCATGTCTGGTTTCAGGATTGCAAGGAAGGACTACATCACAGCCAAGTACATGGAGAGGAGATATGCACGGAAAAAGCATGCAGACACCGTGGCGAAGCTCCACAGCCTTTGTGAGGCCGTCAAGACCAGAGACATTTTTGGGTTACTCCAAGCTTATGCTGACGGTGTGGACCTGACAGAGAAAATCCCACTGGCCAATGGGCATGTAAGAGGGGCTGCAGAGGATGGGAAGTGCGGGTAGGACGAGAGAGGTGTGCAGTGGGTTATTCTCCGTGTCCTATCAGTCCCTGGGGAGAAATAGGTGGCATGCTTTCTTTTAATGGGTAAATAAATGTATGGGTTGGACATACATTATCATAGCTGCTTGGACCATAGTGTTTTAATTTGGGGTGTTTTTTAGGTGTTGACATACTTGATACATGTTGAGAGCTTAGAGATGGGACACAGCCGACTCATGTCTCCCATAGGCCGGGTACACAGAAGCGATTTTGTACAGTCTCCTCAGCGCGCCTCCATTTTAACTGTTAGCCGTCATCTGCGCTCGAGTGTGGAATTTTCCTCCTGTCGAAAAGTTTAGGGTCGTGTCGCATTTTAGATTTATGACCTGCATTCGGGATGCCCAACCCATTCATATCCAACATCATTATGATATGTGGTCAGCGTTTTGATATATATTCACACTGTGGAATGGCCACAAGACAGACAGATCACCTCATATGCTGGTCTTTTGTCGTGGAGACATTTCAAATCTACTCAGCAATTTTGGATTCAAATACGTGATCAGCAACAACCACTGCTATACGACAGGACCTATTCCCCACTCCCCAACCCTTCCATACACACACACCTTTTTTTTTTTAAGACTTGAACTTTGCTAGCAATCCTCCTGCCTCAGCTTTCTGGGTACTGAGATTATTCTTGTACACCATCATACCCAGACTGACTCCTTTCAAACTGAACCTTTGTATTTTGGTTTGTTCTTTTTTTTTTTTTTAAAGATTAATTAAATTTTGTGTGTATGTACCTAAGTGTATACAGGCACCACACATATGTGGGCATCCTCCAAGGCCAAAAGAGGGTGTCAGGTCCCTTAGAGCTGGAGTTACAGATGGCAGTGAGCCAACATGAGTCCCTATGAGAGCAGCAAGCCTTTTAACTGCTGAGCTGTCTCTTTAACCCTGTTGGTTTAGTCTTAAGCCAAAAGTGTAAGGCCAGATGTTGAAGGAAATGTTCAACAATGTAGTGCCAGATGTTCCCATCTGAGGTGGAAGGGAATACGTCCTCCGATGCCCGAAACCCTGAGCACCTCTGAGGCCGTGCTGAGGAGCGCTGCGGCAAGGACCATCTTGTAGTTCACACTCTGAGCATCCTCCCAAAGGGATGAGTAGAACACCTTCTCCAGTCTCCAGATCTTGCTCTTGGGATCATGTGTGTTATACTGTTGGTACCTAAGGAGCTGCCTAGTCTCCTGGCCTTCCTGACTGAGTCCCCATAGTTCAGGTCCAAAGAACCTCCTGGTCTTAGGCACATCCTGGTCTCCAGATGGATTCATCATCCAGTATGGTGGGGTACTAGGTAGGGTATCATGTTTGGATCCAGAATTCTAGGCTAAGCTAGATCCCTTGAGTGGGAACATTGAAAGGTGACACCATTTTCTCCTGGCGACATAGGCTATCCCTAAGTATTAGCAGTGTCACTTCCGTTCTCTCTCAAGAGAGGGAATGTCTAGAGCAGCATGTCCCCACAACTGCCAGAGGACTGAGCAGGCAGGGCAAGTGAAGAATGAGCCAGCCACCCTGTTCATGCCTTCTGTGTTTTGACTGTTTGCTTCTACTTTTTGACCCATTCACCTGGTGGTGATGTAGGGATTGGGACACAATTGAAATGGCTTGGAATCCCCAGCGGTTCTCACTTCCTGCAAGTAGGGAGGGATAGGAAAGTTATGATGTCTTACTTCCTTTTTCTATTTCTGTGATAGGGCACCGTGACCAAGACTACTTGTAGAAGAAAGTGTTTATTTGGGGATTACGGTTTCGGTGGGTTAGAATTCATTTCCCACCACGGTGGGGAGCATGGCAGCAGGCAGGCAGGCCTGGTTCTGGGAAGTGGCTGAGATCTCACATCTTAAGATACATCCATAAGACACAGACAGACAGACAGACAGACAGACAGGCAGGCAGGCAGACAGAGAGACTGGACTGGACTGGACTGGACTGGGAATGTCACAAATCTTTTTAAACCTCTAAGTCCACCCCTAGGAACACACCTCCTCCACTAAATCCACACCTTCTCATGCTTTCCAGATTGTTCCACCAACTGGGGACCAAATATTCAAACATGTGAGCCTCCAGAGGCCGTTCTCATTCAGACACCACATATGCCTTTTGCTGTGGAGATTAAAAAGTGAACATTCTGTATTGTAGATAAATGTTTTGGGGGGAAAGGTAGAAAGGCTTTTAAAGGGACACATGCTATTTCACCTTGGTGGTTCTGGGATTGAAAGATGCCACTGAAATTCCAAATGTCTTGGTTTGAATTTTAGGAGCCAGATGAAACAGCCCTCCATCTTGCAGTCAGATCTGTGGACCGGACTTCCCTCCACATTGTAGACTTCCTGGTCCAGAACAGGTGGGTATCTCAAAAATAAGCAGAGTTTCAGTTCTCTTGGGCTTCTGAGGAGGGGACCAGATACTGTCTCCACTACTTGGGCTGTGTTGCCAAGATGCTCATATCTCAGATTTAAATATGAATTTATGGGAATTTCCTAGAAAAGCCCCGCAGTGTAAGAACAGAAGGCCATCTTCATAATACCTGCAAAATCTAGAGTCTAGGAGAGACTCCAAGGAACCATGGCTGCTCAATTCCCAGCCCTGGGCAAGACCATGTGGGTGTCAGGGCCATCATCTGTGACATGAACATTTCTCTGGTTTGTCCTGTGGGTGGGTCTTTCCCATATCAGTCCCTACCCAGCGCCTCAATAGCAGAAAGATATGAGGGGATAAAGATGTATTAGCCCCTGTCCTAAGCCAGGAATTATAAATCAGAACTCAGTGAAGGCTGCTTCCTTTGAGTTGAGAGGCCATTTGTAATCATTGACTAGAAACAGCCTTCTGAGTTGTTCAGTGTGTGCTGCGTCCGTGCCTGCATGGTGACTGCAAGCCACATGCTAAGACACTTCAGCCTGCACGGTGACTCCCTAATTGTGGCTGGGGTTGGCTATGTTGGCGCAGAGGATGCTGGTTAAATGCTGCATGTGTAATGGGAAGTTCTTGTGTGACAGCAACAGAAGATGGTTTATATTTGTGGCCTCTGCCCTTCCCTGTCATTCCTGGGCAATGGAGTGAGGGAACAGCTGGAAAGTAGGAGAGACCTGCAGGACAGTCGTCCCTAAGACCTGCAGTTCCTTGTGAAGCTAGGTTCACAGAACTCAGGGTTGAGTCAGTTAAACTCTCTCCTCTGAGCCCAGCCCAGGGCCTGAATGCTGACTCAGTGGACATTTGATAAGTAGCTGATTTGTATCTGCTTCCACATAAACTCTCCCTGGGGAGGAGTCTGATTGTCTTCTCCTAAGACAGAAGGTAGATAGAGATAGAGGATGCATAGGCTAGGAAGCGGTTTGGGGTGAGCTCAGTGGTAAGCACTTGCTTCACGTCCATGAACTGCTGCGAGTACCATCCTCGGCACTGCACAAAGCAAGAAAAGGAAAGGTGGTTCTTTCTTACACTGATGCAGCCGTTGTCCTGCTGGGAGCAGTGGGTACCAAACCAAGGACACTTCTGTTTCCATTTGTCTGCCGGTGGATGCACAGCCCCGTCCTTTATTGCGGTGGCGTGACTTTGGGTGATGATTGCTTTTATCACCTATGTGGAACACATGCACCTTTGGTTTTGGATAATCTCGTCTTGGTAGGAGAACCTGGGAAAGTCTTCAGAAGTGTCCCCCTTCACCCACTTTCAGGAGGCTATCCTAGGGCCAGCAGGCTTGCAGGAGCCTTGGGACACCAAACTTAACAGTAGCATTCCCTTCCCTGGTAGAAACAAAATGAAGGGGGATGGAGAGATGGCCCAGTGATCGAGAGCACTGGTTGTTCTTCTGGAGGACCTGGCTTCAGTTCTCAGTACCCACATGGTGGCTCATAACCAGCTAGTCCTCCAATCCTAGGGAATACAATCCCTTCTTCTGGTTTCCACTGGTACCAGGCATATACATGATACCCAGGCATACATATAAATATAAATATCTATACATATAAAATAAAATAATTTTAAAAAGAAAATGAAAAGTTTGCTTGTTGTCCAGGGTAACAGGAAGGGCCAGTTGTATAGACCAAATGGGTGACAGGCAGGGCCGGATGTGTAGACTGAATGGGTGACAGGCAGGGCTTGTTGTGTAGACTGGATGGTGGACCTGGTGCCCTTGTTACCACAGGACAAGAGAGAAGAGGACAGAGGCACTGAGATTGCTCCAGGGTGTCCTCTCTAGCCTAGTGATTCTCAACCTTCCTAGTGCTGCGACCCTGTAATACAGTTCTTCACCTTGCGGTGACCCCCAACCATGAGTTTTGTTACTACTTCATAACTGTAATTATGCTACTGTTATGAATTGTAAATATATGTGTTTTCCAATGGTGTTAGGTCATTTGACCACCAAAGAGTTACACATCACGGCTCTAACCCAAACTCAGCAACAATGCAGCCACCATTGGTCTACTCTGCCGTCTTGTAGTCTCACAGTGGGGATGCTCCCTGGCTGCCTTCATGCTAGCTAGTCTGGTGCCCACTCACTGCGGGCTTAACTTAGATACATTGTCTGCTGCTAACTCACATGTCTGTCCACAGTCTGCAGGGCTGTCCTCATCCGCTGGCTTATGACTGATTTATCTTTTTCCATCCATGTTCCGAGCAGTGGGAACCTGGATAAACAGACAGGCAAGGGCAGCACAGCCCTGCACTACTGCTGCCTGACTGACAATGCTGAGTGCCTCAAGCTCCTCCTGCGGGGAAAGGCCTCCATTGAGATAGGTAAGCCACCTGGGTACGCTGGGTGCTCCTCTGCTGGCCCCTCTGCCTCCTCTCCGCAGCTCTGCACTTCTCTTGTTCGGAGTATTTCTCCCACTAGAAAGAGCGCCTCTCCCTACCTGTCCTGCAGAGTGCCTTGTCCTGGGTATCCAAAGGCTCCGCCTGTTGTCTGTCTTAGCCTTTGGCCTAACCTGCAGGCTTTAGGAATGATGAGGCTAGGCCTTGCAGCTGGGTGAATCTAGATCCACTGTGTAGCGATTTTAGCTCACCTCCTGAGATCAGACAAGGCCTTTCTTTGAGGAGGTGCTGGTCACTGCCCTCTCTTGCAGTGCCTGCAACAGGTCCTAATCCTGCCTGGACTTTGTTTCTCCTTAGTTGTGGGTCTTCCACTGTCAGGGCATCTTACCCAGAGCTATCAAGGTAGGCTTGGGTCCTGGGGAAGTATTTGAAGAACTACTGAACAAAGAAAAAAAAAAAAGCATGTCCTGCTCAAAACCCTTGCTTTTAAAAACTGAGCAAGCCAAAGGGAGGAGATCATTATAGTTTGAATCCAACTAAGTCTCTACAAGAATTCCAGCAAACCAGAGCTATAGCGATGCTCTGTCTGAATTAAAAAAGGAGGAGGAGGAGGGGGAGGAGGAGGAGGAAGGAGAGGAGGAAGAAGAGGAAGAGGAGGAGGAAGAAAGGAAGAAAGGAAGGAAGGAAGGAAGGAAGGAAGGAAGGAAGGAAG